TATATAATCCCATTAATTTTTAAATCCATGAACACCTAACTTTTAAAAAATCAGCCTCCTAAAGAATTTTAAGAGTTGCCATATTTAGTAACTCACAGAAGAATCGGAGAAACGACTTAATATACCCAAATGTCCCAAAGGTGTTTTTTTCCAAGAGGCAACTGGACTTTCTTGTTTTTCTTTAAAAACATTTCACTTTTCATCCAAGAAGCTTCTTCAGCTCTGAGCAGATGGCGGGGAAGGGTTTATACTCCTTGCAGACAGCTGGTCATTTGTATTCTTTTAGAAAGTCATTGAGGCCACTTGGAGGTTTAGCGGTGTCCTCGGTGTCATCTGAGTAGTGCAAATGAAGCAAAATGTCTTCAAAGAAAAACAAAGAAAGTCCAGTTGCCTCTTGAAAAAGCACCTTTGGGGCAACCATGACCTGGATAACTGAGAATATCCGTAGACAATACACCAGAACCTTTACCCTTTTCATTAAATTATTTCATATGAAAAGTTGATCCTGGAATGTTCCTGGTTTTTGGCTGCCATAGACTAGTATGGTCCTCCTCCTACAATATGAAACTTGCCAATCCTTAACTGATATTTCCTGGTAAAACAGCATGCAGGGTGCTAACAATGTCCTTTTTTTCCGATTTTGGAGTAAATGAAGAAAGAACATACATTGTTGGAATGTGAAAGAGAACACACAGCTACCATATGGAGCCAAATTTACGCCAATGCATTCCTCAAGCAAGTTGACTACACCACTTTCTCAATAAAACTGGTGGAAAGCGTGATGCAACTACGTAGCAAGTTTGTTCTCAGTGGAGGTGGGACTTGTCAGGCTTGATGTTAGAAACGTCTGGTTTCCTCACTCCTCCGCCTTTTGTCCAGCCTCTAGCTACAGGTAGCCTTTGAGTTACAACTGTAATGGAGCCTGTGATGACCCAGGATGGGATACAAAACAAACACAGTCACAGAAAACAGGCGAAGCCCCTTTTATTCCTTCACTTTGCTTCCAAGCTCCGAATATTCTTGACGGAAGACAAAAAACTCCCACACAAACAGTTACACAAAGAAGGAAAAAAGCAACACAAATCAGGCAAGATAAGGGCTGGAGGACATCCACAGATAACCCACACTGGGAAGGACACCAAACTCAGAGAGGAACCATAAACTAGAGATATTTCCAACCTTTGTTTCCAGCGCTCGCCTGTACGCATGTTCGTTCTCTTATTCAGTTGTCACAGCTGCAGCCCATGAAGAGGATCAAGGCCTTCTCCTCATGAGTAGACCACGTCTCTCCCTTATCCTCTCCTCCCTGCGTGCCCTAGGAAGGATAGGGGATGGGCCTGGGTCCCTTCTCTGACTGCTCAGCCAACCTCTGCCCTTCCCCAGCCTCCTCCACAACCTCCAGAGCCATACTTCTACTCCTTGTCAGCTGTTCCTCCTCTCCCTCAGAATCAGTCTCCACCAGGGGCATGACAGAGCCTGTCTGCAGTCATAATGGTCATAAATTGGATCAGTCATGCAGTGGTGAGATTCAAATAATTTAACAACCGGTTCTCTGCCCTAATGATTTCTTCCAACAACTAGTTCACCAAACTGCTCAGAAACTTAACAACCTGTTCTCCCGAAGTGGTGCGAACTGGCTGAATTCCACTACTGCAGTCATGTGACCAACCCAATTTTAGGACATTTTTGCAGCAGTTAAGCAAATGAACATTGGTCATAAATGCAAACCTACTGTTCACTAGGAGCGTGGTTTGCCAAAATCCGGAAGTCCCGTTTTGGTGCAAAACTGTTGTAAAATAGTTATTCGACTGCAGGACACTGTGTAAAACAGCTTCATAAAACACAGTTGTGATTGCGGGGGGGGGGGGACCCCAACTATCCAAACTTAGAATCCAGGTTGTAAGTTCCCTTTTTCAGGTAGGTTATAAGTGAACATTACTAAGTGACTGGTTGTAAGTCAAAGACTACTTACTGTATATTATAGTCAATGCTTTTGAAAAAATCTTATAGAAAACAATCTCTCATCCCTGGATTGGCAATCTCTATTCACTGGATACAATACTGTTGAAGACCATTACAACATATTTTTACTTGAAGTCAAAAGAGTCATCAAACTATATGTACCAATAACAACTCCCAAAACAAAACAAAAAATAGATTACCCATAACAAGAAGGAAACTTCAATTCAAAAAGAGATAACTCTGGCGGAAAAACAAATCTGGTCACGTTGCCAACTTCAAAAGTCGATACAAAAATCTATGCCACCAGATAAAGACTGAATGCACCAATTATCACATTAAACAAGAGGAAAACCTACGCACCAATTCCACCCACGCTTTTTACAATTTTGTAAACAACAAACTAAAAGACTCAAGGTCCATCCCACCCCTGATAGGACCTAATGGTAAAGACTGCACCATTAAAGCCAACATCTTTAACACATTATTTGGCTCAGTATTTGTAAACAGCAATGGATCATGCCCAGTATTTCCTAGCCGAACCACAGAAAACTACAATACATATCGATTTTACAGAAGACAATGTTGAAAAAGCACTACGCAATCTAAAACCATCTCTATCTATTGGACTGGACGGAATATGTGCCTACTTCTTAAAAAAGCTATCCACTGCCATAGCAGAACTTCCAAGCATAATCTTTGAAAAATCTTTCAGGACCAGCTCCTTGCCTAACCTATGGTCACAAGCCATGGTCATCCCCATCTTCAAAAAGGGAGACCCCAGCCTAGTTGAAAATTACAGACCAATCTCCTTATGCTGCGTCACCTGTAAAGTCATGGAATCAATTAACCAATCCATTATCCTCAACTTAGAGACAAACAACCTACTCTCTAATAAACAATTTGGTTTCAGAAAAAAATTATCCTGTAATCTGTAACTCTTACACTGTAAAAACATACGGACTACACAACTCGATCAGGGCAAAACAATAGATGCAATCTACATAGACTTCTGTAAAGCCTTTGATTCAGTGGTACACGACAAACTACTAAAACTAAAATCTTATGGTATCTCTGGACAACTGCATAACTGGATAGAAGCATTCCTATCAAACAGACAACAAATGGAGAAAATTGGGAGTGTCCTATCAAATCCTGTACCTGTCAACAGTGGTGTCCCCCAAGGTAGTGTTCTAGGACCAAGTCTCTTCATACTCTACATAAATGACCTCTGTGATCATATTAAGAGCAACTGCGTTCTCTTCGCTGATGATGTAAAGCTGTTCAATACCACAGACAATACTGCTACCCTTCAAAAAGATCTTGACTATGTATCAGAATGGTCAAACAAATGGCAACTTCAAATCTCAACAAATAAATGCTCTGTCTTACATATTGGCAAAAAAAATCAGAAAATAAAATACAAGCTGAATAGTCAAGACCTTGTTGATGATCCAAGCTCCGTAAAGGACCTTGGAATGCTCATCTCTAATGATCTAAGTGCTAGAGCCCACTGTAACTACATAGCCAAAAAGGCATTAAGAATTGTTAACCTAATCCTACGTAGCTTTTTCTCTGGTGATATCATACTACTAACTACAGCATACAAAACATTTGCTAGGCCAATACTTGAATACACCTCATCAGTCTGGAACCCACATTACGTATCTGATATTAGCACAGTTAAGAAAGTCCAGAAATATTTCACAAGAAGAGTTCTCCACTCCTCTACTCGTTGAGGAATACCTTATGCCACCAGAGTTGAAATTCTAGACCTAGAAAACCTTGAATTACGCCGTCTTTGGTCTGATCTAAGTATGGTATATAAAATCATACATTGCAATGACTTGCCTGTCAATGAATACTTCAGCTTCAACCATAACAACACAAGAGCAGACAATAGATACAAACTCAAGGTTAATCGCACCAAACTTGATTGCAGGAAATACGACTTCAGCAATAGAGTGGGCAATGTCTGGAATACTCTACCTGACTCTGTGGTTTCTTCCCCAAACCCCAAAAACTTTAACCTTAGACTGTATACTATTGACCTCACCCCTTTCCTAAGAGGTCTGTAGGGGGCGTGCATAAGCGCACCAACATGCCTATTGTCCCTGTCCTATTGTTTCTTTTTATTTTTCTTATACTGTATGTTACCATTTCATGTATTCATAACTATGTATATACTTATACCTATTATCTTATAAGCGATTGACAAATAAAAATAAATAAAAATAAATAAAATAAAAACTCTCAAGTAGAATATAAGAGCCCCAGGACAGATCACACAGAGAAAGTTAGCATCTAAATGGAAAAGTCTTAGATTTGGGACTAAACATACCTGTAGAAAAAATTGCTTGTAACTCATAAGGTAAGGAATTTCATGGCTGTGAAGTCACTGTCAGTTCTGGGCTGAACTCGCCCTTCCCTTTTGCACATCAGATAGCAAGAGTTATGAAAAGCAGGTTGTTTATCTCTTGGTAATTGTTATAAGGAGGGTTGGCTTACATGTACAGTGACTCGCAATAAACCAAATATCGCCACATGTATAGCTTCATGTACACATTTGTATAAGTGTGTTGCATAGACCTTAACTGGTGATACTTCCTTCTGACCTCCCACCCCAAACCTTCATTTGCTTCATATCTACTATGTATGATGTGGATAGTTCAAGAACAGGCCTGAATAATAATTTTTCTTTCTCATTTGTTGATAATGTAGGGTATTAAGCATGCGTAATCTTTTTTGAAAATCGATAGCGTTCATCAGTTGACCTTACCTGAGATGGTTCATTTATCTCTGTCCCAAAACGTAAGCTTACAAGTATACACCTCTGCACATTCCTGGCTCCCACGCCTAGCCCCACATGTTTGTTAAAACCAATGAAACTTATCCCTTTTTGTGATGTACTTGCTTGAACAGGTTCTTTTTAATGTATGCTGAATTGCACACCCAGCCACACTACACCCTAAACACCATTGAAGCACTGTAAGCTGTGTGTGATGTTAGTGTGTCTGTAGTGTTCTGCCCTAGGAAAGAACATGGCTCAGTCGCTATTCCTAGTCAATATCTTCCTCTTCTTCTTAGCGGTGCTGCTCCTTTATCATTTTAGCAATATCTTCAGATACTACTTCAAGATTTGCGTTTTAAAAGTCTGGATGCTTGAATGGTCCTTTTTTCTGCTTCCGGTCCTAGCTCTCCGTGGAAGGAATGTGGCAAATATGAGGTAAGTCACTCAGCACCATGGCATTAGACACGCACACATATATACATGTACTTTCAGTTAGAATAGATTAGAATAACAGAGTTGGAAGGGACCTTGTAGGTCATCTAGTCCAACCCCCTGCCCAAGCAGGAGACCCTACACCATTTCTGACAGATGGCAGTCCAATCTCTTCTTGAAAGTCTCAAGTGATGGTGCTCCCACAACTTCCAAGGGAAAGCTGTTCCGTTGGTTGATTGTTCTCACTGTCAGAAAGTTTCTCCTTATTTCCAGGCTGAATCTCTCCTTATTCAGTTTTCATCCATTATTCCTTGTCTGGCCTTCGGGTGCTTTAGAAAATAGCTTGACCCCTTCCTCCCTGTGGCAGCCCCTCAAGTATTGGAAGACTGCTACCATGTCTCCCCTGGTCCTTCTCTTTACTAGACTAGCCATGCCCAGTTCCTGCAACCGTTCTTCATATGTTTTTGTCTCCAGTCCCCTAATCATCCTGGTTGCTCTTCTCTGTACTTTTTCTAGAGTCTCAACATCTTTTTTATAATGTGGTGACCAAAACTGGATGCAGTACTTTAGGTGTGGTCTTACTAAGGCTTTATAGAGTGGTATTAGTATCTCACTTGATCTTGGTTGTATTCCTCTATTAATGCAATTTAGGATTGCATTAGCTTTTTAAACTGCTGCTACACACTGCTGGCTCATATTTAGTTGGTTGTCCACTAAGACTCCAAGATCCCTCTCACAGTTACTGCTATTGAGCCTGGTTTCACCCAGTTCAGCAGTCACCAACCAGTGGCCAGTGGGCCACGAGAAAATTTTGGTGGGCTGCAGAGAAATCTCACCCCCAGAGCACCCCACAAAGCAATTAATCCAGGCTGCGCACAAACACAAGGCTGTGCTGCCCACATGCCCCGTGGGAACCCTCCCCGCCCACTCACTCCTTACCCGGCAAACTTGCCTGCTAAATTGCTATTTTTCTGACCATCAGATGTTCTGCTGTGCCAGGAGATTTAGATTAGCTAGGAAGCAGGAAATGGTTGGAGTTCTTGCTTTCTAGCTAGTCTTTAGATCTTCAGCTCTGCTTTTAAGCACAGCTGAACCTCCCTTAGGACTGAAGGTTCTATTATTCAGTGCAGACTTACGGCAAGCAAATTTTATGTGACAGACTGAGCTAGCCGATGGCAGATAGGTAGATAGATCACTGAATGATTCTGTGAGCAACTCAATCTGCCTGCCTGCTTTGTCTGATTTTGGGTAAAAGTTGCTCTTTTATATATATATATATATAAATCAATATTTACATACATGGTGTGTTGTGAGTTAGTGTTGGTGTGTTAATTTTGTGAGTTTGCTTGCTAGCAAATTTTATGAGTTTGATTGCAAGCAAATTTTATGTAACAGACCGAGCTAGCTGATGGCAGGTAGACAGATCACTGAATGATTCTGTGAGCAACTCAATCTGCCTGCCTGCTTTGCTCTTTTTTTAATAAAAAATTCAATATTTATATAAATATTTATAATATTTACATACAAGCCATGCCCAGCCACTCACATGACCACCAAGCCACACCCACAAATTAGGCCACACCCACAGAACCGGTTAGTGGTCCTGGGATTTAAAATTATGAGTTTGGTGGTCCCTGAGGTCCAAAAGGTTGGCGACCCCGACCCAAATTATTTCCTGTTACCTTTTGGCAAGTCTCACACAGTTTGGCAAGGCTTGTGCTTATCACAGCTAATTGTTTTGTAAAAGCATTACAAGGTTTCTGTTCCCTTTGGATGGTGTTTGATTTGTTGGAAAAGGGCATGGGTCAGAACACCCAGGGTGGCTTGCTGACATTGGTGGGAAAGTCGGTCCCATATTCCAGAGCTGCAGTGGTCACAGGACTGGCCCTTTGGTCATCCCAGAGCAGCTCTTCCAGTCCATGGCAGGCCGGTGTACCCGGTGGAGGAGCAGCTGCTCCAGGATGACCAAAGGGCCAATCCTGTGACTACTGCAGCTCTGGAATATGGGACCGACTTTCCCACCAAAGTCAGCAAGCCACCGTCAGTCAAAATTCATATTAGCGGTCCGCGGGATTTAAAATTATGAGTTTGGTGGTCCCTGAGGTCCAAAAGGTTGGCGACCCCTGTTCTAGTCCAACCCCCTGTTTGAGCAGGAGATCCTGGCCTATACCATTTCAGATGAATGTTTGTCCAGTCTCTTTGAAAGCCTCCAGTGATGGAGCACCCACAATTTATGAAGACAAGCTATTCCATTGGTTGATTGCTCTTTACCATTAGAAAATTCCTCCTTAGTTTTAGGTTGCTTCTCTCCTTGGTTCGTTTCCATTCATTGTTTCTTGTCTTGTCTTTTGGTGCTCTGGAAAATAGTTTGACCCCCTTGTCTTTGTAGGAGCCCCTCAAATATTGAAACATTGCTGTCATGTCTCCCTGAATCATGATTTTTAACCATGGAATTCAAAAACCAAACAAAATAGTATCAGACAGAAATGACTTAATTAGGCAAATAGGACATTCTGGCTGTGCAGTGTAAAAGTCATCTGGATGATCTCACTTAGCCTAGCTTCCTTCATAGGATTGTTAGGAAGGTGATGTTGAGAAAGGGCAACATATGAATGTGATGATACATATTTAGTTACCCACCACCTTTTATCCTCCTTACCTTAGCATATACAATTGTGTCACTGGCTGAAGATCGCACACGTTTTATGGAAAAGTGCAATTGTGAACAGGCCTGTTCTGACCCAAACCCTTTTCCAACAAAACAAACACAAACCAAAGGGAACAGAAACCTTTTAATGATTTTTAGGAATCCCTGGTTAAAAGGCTGCTGCAAACTAATTAACTTTGATAAACACAAGCCTTGCCAAAACTGTGTGAGGCTGCCAAGAATCACAGATAATATTTTACAACACAAAGAGTCTTCAAATACCAACTAAGATACTCCATGAGGCTGGAGTTCCAAAATGTTTTTGCTTCCTACAAAGAACGTCTGATTCACAGCTGGCTTTTATCTTCTTGAAGTAGGGCCATTACCTTGCAGCCTTACTCCTGAGTCACCCGTGCTGCTGCAGCTGTTCTTTCCTACGAGCAGCCCTGCGCGCACGCGCACTTGGCACAGGCTCCTCGGGAACCTCTTCATCGCTGCTGCCAGCCCCCACAATCTCTGAAGGCAGCAGTCCACTCCCTAATGGTCCTGGCCCCTCATCTGAGTCCTCGCTCTCCTCAGCCGTCCGCACCTGCTGCCAGCTAACCACAACAAGGGGTGGACTTAACTCTAGCAATTGCCTCAGCTTCTTTTCCTCAACTGCTCTTAATGTTTCTAAACCACATCTGTTCTCATTCTTTGTTTCAGAGTTCTGCGTTTCATCATGCTACCCTTGAAACACTTTTATGGCATTAAGATCAATGTGCAGGGAGTTACGAATCTAAATCTGAAAGGGCCTTATGTCGTCATCTCTAATCTGCAGTGCTCCATGGACTTGCTTGGTGAGTTTGTTGATCTTTTGGTGCATACCGTGTTGGCAGGGCCCTGAAAATATGTGTTGAAATAGGAATAACTCATCTCCATCTTTACCCATGTAAGATTAATTTGAGGAAAGATGATCCCACAAAGAAACACACAAAAATTGTGTCCATTTCATCATTTAATTTTATCGATCTTTTTAATATTGTATTTTTAACACTTTGTGTCTTTCTTGCATTGTTTTAGGCACACTGTGTGCTAGCCAGAGTAGAAATGTGGCATGCAACTTAAATAAATTAAAAGCAATAAAAACAAAATAGTAGCTATAGCAGGATTGTAAGCAGTAGTGATGGGTCTAGCTGGATTTCCCCTTAAACAGTGGGTGGATACACAAATTATTTCAAACATTATTATTAGCCGTGTTTAAAGCTGGACAACGTGAAGCATTTGGGAAGAGCATAGGATTGGATTTGTCTGAAATATGTTACTCAGAATTCTTCAGAATTCTTCCAAAGGAGAGTTAATATTTCATGATGGGTATGAGTATTTTGCCTATCTTTCCTCGTGCCCTCTTCTTTGCAGTCTCTGGGCTTTTCATCTTCACATGAAGACAGGAGAGAATAGCAGGAGCAGCGGTGTATTAACCATTAAGCAGACGAAGCACCTGCTTAGGGCACCAGGCCCAAAGGGGGCGCCACAAAGTTGAGAATATGGCTTCCTTTGTACAGCGTGTACAAAGGAGGGAGCGGGGGGGGGGCACCCGTGAGCCTTAATCCACCACTGAGCAGGAGGTTATCCTCTCCTAATCCTTTTCCAGATCAAGAAGCATGAACAGCTGGAGAACAAACTGATGCACCTCCCAAAAAATCTGTTTGCCATATCTGTAAACAACAAAGCAGAAGGATCTATTATTCTGCGAAGAAAGATAGATGGGCTTTGTCAAGGGACGGCGGATAGCTTCCAAGAGCTTCTGCTCTGCTGCAGTTCCTAGTCACCAGACACTTTCCTCGTGGGAGAATTGATCCCTTAAATCAGCGTTTCTCAGCCTTGGCAACTCCAAGATATGCGGACTTCAACTCCCAGAATTCTGGGAGCTGAGGTCCACATATTTAGAATTGCCATAATTATTTATTCATTTATTTACTTACTTATTTGTTTATTTGTTTATTTATTTAATTTGTCAAGCATGTATGAGAAAACAAGTATAAGTATGAACATAACATATAAACATATAAGTATAAACAGGTATATAAGTATATACACAATAAATGAGCACGAATAAATGGGAAGAGTAGGACAGGAACGGTAGGCACGCTGGTGTACTTATGCACGCCCCCTCACAGACCTCTTAGGAATGGAATGAGGTCCATGGAAGACAGCTTAAGGTTAGAGTTTTGGGATCTAAAATCAAGAGACATTGCCGGATAATCACACCATAATCCATGCATGCTTTCCTAAACACAAAACAAACAAGAAGGTGCTGAGACGCAAGACTGTCTTTGCCCTAAAAATTTTCCTTCCAGAAGCCCACAGCCAGCACATGCAGGAAATTCCACTTTTCCTTAGAGGAGCCTGAAGTCAGTCTTCCTCATTCTGCTACCTTCCACATTCCACGTTTGGGGGGGGAAAAATTCCTCAGAAATGTTCCTGTAGCCCAGTATCAATCTTTTGATATTGTTGAACTCAACAGGGTGGTGAATCTAGGTCGGTTCACTCCAGCTGATGCTAATCCTGTCCTGGTTACATTCCACAGTAGGGGATTGGGGTGTGTGGAAAGAACCAACAATTACCCTTAGATTTGACCTTCTTCTGATGCTATTCTTCTTCTGCAAAAAAAAAACCTCCAGGGATTTTTCAAGTCTTGCCCAAGCGATGTACCCTTTTCGTCAAGAAAGAAGTCCTGTATATGCTTACTGTTGGTGTTGTCCTGTGGCTGTGTGGTTTCATTTTCATTGACCATAAAAAGGAAGCGGAAGCTGTTGAGATAATTTCAGCAACTGAAGACACCATGCTCCGGGACAATGTAAGTAGGGGAGGACAGCAACATAACCACTACATTGTTTTCTGTATTGATGGAATGATAAGAGTTGGAAGGGATCTTGGAGACCTTCTGTCCAAGGCAGGAGTCCTGATACCTGGGAAAAGTATTGGTTCTTCTAACATCCCAAAGATACCCTTCCCCAAGAAGATGTCCAATGGATATTACCCAGTGCATTACATATTGTGTGATATTGAGTAAGAGTATGAATGAGCACAGAGAAAAACTGTGTTAGGTGCTATTTGGATACTGGCTGTGCAATGTAAGTAGCCATCACTGGATGAAAATAGACTCTTGTGGCTAATAAATATTCAATTTTATGGAAAGTTTATTTATAGAATAAGGCACTGTTGCATAATGATGCAGTAAAACTAACATCTTAACTATAGCTAATTGGAAATAACCACTCTTCTATCAGCACATAATAGAATATCTATTGATGGAGGATAAGAATGGGACAAGGTAAAAAGAATAACACCAAGAAGCAGGAATGTTAATCCTATTGCTTATTTCCAATACCTGTGTGTTTCTCTGCACTAATTGCTGGCTTGTCCCTTGGTTCTGGCTTAGCCCTGTCTCTATGGATTAATCCAGGGGTGGGATTCTACAGGCTCGCACCTATTCACTAGAACCAGTTGTTAACGTTCTAAGCAGTTCGGAGAACCGGTTGTTAGAAGAAATTACTGGTCTAATCCTGTAAGGAAGGCAGGAAGGAAACATTCTGGTGTTCCTTACAGAAACTGCCTCTCCGTTAACTCTTATTACATTCTTGGCAGGACTAGACTTCCTGTCTCAAGAACTTCTCTGGAGTTTTTTTCCCCTCCTTTGCTGGTACTTTGCTTGTGTGGAGTGACCATTCAAAGTTACAATGGCACTGAAAAAAGTGACTTGTGACCATTTTTCACACTTACGACTGTTGCAGCATCCCCACAGTCATGAGAGGCCAGGCGAGGAGATGCATGCCTCGATGTGAGTGATATTGAGTTGACCACACTCAACCGGTCACATGACCACCAAGCCACGCCCACCCAGTCACATGACCACAAGCCACGACCACCACCTAAGCAACGGCCACAGAACAGGTTGTTAAAAAATTTGAATCTCACCCCTGGATTAATCATACAGTAAATTTGTAGATCCTTATATGATTTCAAATATGCAAAGTTTATGTGTGATGCAGTGGTGGGATTCAAAAACTTTTACCACCGGTTTGGTGGGCGTGGCTTGGTGGGCACGCTTTGCACGGATGCACACACACGCAGGGGCAGAGGCGTTACAACTCACCTCCTGCAAGCCTGCACTCTCCCGGTTGCTTCAGCAGCCGCCATGCGGCACTCTTCTGTGCCGCGCAAAGCAGCTGTGCTTCAAAAGCAGAGGATAAAGGTGAGTATGGGAGCCCAGGCGGGCAGGTAGGCCCAACAGCAGAGTGGTGGAGAGAACCGGTTTGGTCTGCGTTGCTCATCGCTACCAGTTTGGCTGAACCAGGCCGAACGGAAGTGGAAGCATGCCACCACTGGTGTGATAGTAGTGGGGCAAGTTAAGAACATGATCTTGGAAGTAAAAGGTACTTTCACCAATGATCTCTTCAATCTTGGAAGGGCTCTATTTAAGAAAGTGTCAGTTTGGCGTAGTGGTTAAGGCATCAAGCAGGGGTGGGATTCAAATTTTTTAACAACCAGTTCTGTGGGTGTGGCTTAGTTGGTGGGCGTGGCTTGGTGGTCATGTGACTGGCTGGGCATGGCCAACTCAATATCACTCACATCGAGGCACACATCTCCTCGCCTGGCCTCTCATGACTGTGGAGATGCTGCAACAGTCATAAGTGTGAAAAACGGTCATAAGTCACTTTTTTCAGTGAATGGTCACTCCACACAAGCAAAGTACCAGCAAAGGAGGGGGAAAAAAAACTCCAGAGAAGTTCCTGAGACAGGAAGTCTAGTCCTGCCAAGAATGTAATAAGGGTTAACGGAGAGCAGTTTCTGTAAGCAACACCAGAATGTTTCCTTCCTGCCTTCCTTACAGGATTAGGCCAGTAATTTCTTCTAACAACCGGTTCTCTGAACTGCTTAGAATGTTAACAACTGGTTTGAGTGAATAGGTGCGGACTAGTAGAATCCCAGCCCTGAGTAAAAGGTACTTTCACCAATTATCTCTTCAATCTTGAAAGAGCTCTATTTAAGATCATGTCAGTTTGGCGTAGTGGTTAAGGCACCAAGGCTAAAAATCAGAAAACCATGAGTTGAAGTTCTGCCTTAGTCATGAGAGCCATTTGAGTGATTTTGGGCCAGACACCGTCTCTCAGCCCAACCCACCTCACAGGGTTGTTGTGGGGAGGAGGAGGAAGAGGTGTAGTGTTAGATATATTGGATATGCCACCTCGAGTTAATTGTAAAAATAATAAAGATATAAATAAAATAAAATAAATTAAGTGAACTAATAACAATGGATTTATTAAAAGAAGTGATGCAAATCTAGCAAGAAATATTTTTATTAAATAAATATGGTTAGTTTCCAGATCAAGATGAGAAGCTACATTATCATCTTGTTTCTCTAAAACAGAATAGGTAAAAATACAATAGAGTGAATAACTGCCTGTCCTAAAAAGCATGTTTCAATCCAGTAATGATTTATGACCAGTCCTCATACTTATGACCATTGTACCATCCCTACAGTCATGTGCTCAAAATTAATTGGCAACTGGCATTTATTTACAATGGTTGCAGCATCCTCACGTGATCATTATTTGCAATCTTCCTGGCTGACTTCTGACAAGCATGATTCAGTTAAAAACTGCAATGATTCACTTAACAACTGTGTCAAAAAAGGACATAAAATCCATGGCAACTTACTCAACCACTGTGCTTAGGAATAGAAATTCTGGTTCCGATTGCGGTCGTAAATTGAGCACTATGTGTATTGATTTCCTGGGCCTATCTTAATATGACCACATGACAGGAATGTAGAGCTTAGCTTTTAGAAAAGTGCTATTAGAACTGATGGAGTTGAAAGAAATGGTGTATTACAGGAGTCAAAGACATTCCCTTGTCAATACTGTATTAATTGGCTGAAGAAGAAAGGCCTAATGTATTCATTATTAAACTTGTTCTTTCCTGTCTAATTAGCTGAGAATATGGGTATTTTCTGAAGGCCACAGAACTGGTGAATCCACCTTGGAGCCCTTGCAAAAAGAGGCTGTCTATCTTGCAGTGAAGGCACAGGTACGAATGTGACATTTCCACACTTCTTACTGTATTTCTTCATTTAACTCAGAAAGAAATGAAAATAGAGCAGTGCTATTTCTGTGAGCCATTCAGTTGTAGAAACCAGAACCATCAAGGTGGCAAGCTAAGCAATATATAATCATTATTGGAGAACAGTAATAATTATTATTGGCAACTGAGCTACCACCCAAAGCAGCAGAGTAAAAAAACAAAATCCTTTCCATCACACATTAAAAGAATATTTCCTTACTAAATACTACGAATTCAAGATTGGAGGGAGCTGCTTTGTCTTCCTTTCCCAAAATGCTGCCCCAAAGTTAGACTGAGTTATTTTCTTTCGGTTTCATAAATAGCTATTAAAAATGTGGGGTCAACTTTATCCAGGGAAAGTGAAAACATACCCCAAACCCAACTGAAAACAGAATAATAAAACGGAGGAACCACCTCAAACCATCAAGCAGGGATGGAGGATAGTGGAACAGACCAATGTTTCTAGAGGTCCTAGAATCTCTGGGGACCCCAAAGTTTTTAGGACCTCTGGGGTGTCCCGAGACTATTTCAGGGGCTGTGAAATCAAACCAGCCCCTATTTGCCCGTCTTTCATTATTCAGTAGTACAATATTAAAATCCCATCAAACAATCATGGGAAAGGGTAGTAAATAAAATTATTTTTATTTTTTAATATGGCAATTATCAATAACATAATAGAAGCTTTTTTTGGGGGGGGTCCTCCTTAATTTTTATAAGTTGGAAGGGTTCCTGAAGAAAAGAAACTTGAACTTTTTAAAAAGCTTTTTTAAAAAAAGTAGCTAGGAAAAGGACATGGCTTGTTGGAAATTACTCCGCTTTGCAAGATTTTGTAATGCTTATCTACCTCTGCTTAAGTAAATACAACCCAAATAGGGTTGCCTGATTTTTTTCAATGTTTCTCAACCTTGGTGATTTGAAAATGTGTGGATTTCAATTCCCAGAATTCCTCAGTCAGCAAACTTGCTGAGGAATTCTGGGAGTTGAAATCCACATATCTTCAAGTTGCCAAGGTTGAGAAACAGCTCATGTAATGTTTGTTTCAGGTTGTTTATTAGATGTTTGGGTTTTCATTCCCCTTATTAATTGCCTCCCCCTAATTAAAACTCCAGTGTGGAAAATTTGTGGCATCTTAAACTCTACCACTGATGTTGAAGTTAACTTCTCGTTTACAAGGAAGCAAAGACAGAGGAATCCTTTTGGGCCAACAAACTTTCCCACCAGCACCATTTTTACACACACACTCCTTACAAAGAGCAGCATCAGTCTTTGGGATGGTTTCCCCTCAGCGAGGCCTTCCCCACTCCTCAAACCCGATTCTACACTGATCAGAGAATGCAGCAATAGCATATTGCTGACATGGATATGGCCACATAGGTCATTTCTCTTCAGTTTTTCTTTAGACAGATGTAAACAAAACAAAACTAAACAAAAACAAATCCTACCTAAAAGCAACCACCAAGGGGACCACAAATCAAAATGGTGACTGTGATGGTAAGATTGAAGTTCCTCTTGATTTTATGTCCAACACAGCCACCATCTTATGTGTTGCTCTGCTGACACTCTGACAGACAGGTTAGCTTCATGATTCCACTTTTGCAATGCAATGGTGGCAATGTGACCTCTTCTGGACAGTGATTGTTTTTCTTTCCATGCAGGTGCCAATCATTCCTGTGGTGATGTCCTCCTACAAACCATTTTTCAACATGAAGACTAACAAATTCATATCTGGTATTCTGTTGCACTGGGAATAGCTAAGTCAATGCTTGTCTGGGTTTTACTCCCCAAGACATAGCGACAGGTCAACTCTCAAGGGGAGGCCTAAAAATGCAAGTGACTGGGATAAAAATGGGGTCATCACACAGCACTGTAGGCTCCAAGAGGCAGCTAACAGTTTTGGATTGGGGACTCCACTTGATTTAACCACTTGATATTTTGGACAGGACCAAAATATTCAGCCTTGCAGTTAGGGTGGAATTTTCTTTCTCCCTTTATTGAACTGAAGAAGCTTCCTGGATGAGAAGCAAACATTTTCAAGGGAAAACAAGCCCAATTCCCCTTTAAAAAGCACCTTTGGGACCTTTCTTGCAGGATTTCTTTTAAAAAGCAATATGTATATATATAGAGAAAGCAATTAATCTGCTGCCACATTTTAGCAGTATAATCATGGTGCTCTAAAGGGCATTCAAACAGACTGGGGCACATGCAGTATTATTGGTTGTCCACTTTTTGCTTGAAAGCCAGGATCTCTCTGAATCTAACATTAGAACTTCTGAATGGCAGAGGAGGTCTATAATTTATGCAAGCTATATCTCCAAGGACAGGTAGTCCTTGAGTTATGACTGGTTGTTTAACGATGGTTCAAAATTACAATGGACCTCTCCCAAAAGGTATTTATGTCCCAGTTCCAAGTTCTGATAGCCAGGCTGAAAATCGGTGTTTACTTCCAGTTTGGGGTAAAAACACCGCATAGCAAACAATTTGTTCACTTAACAACTGTAGTGTTTCCTTAATGATTGAGGTGTTCGTTTAACAACCATAGCATTTGCTTTATGGGTTTGTAAAAAAAGGTTGTAAAATCAGGTCCAGTCACATGATGACTCACTTCATGACTGTCATGACTTACAATGATAATGGGCAGGCTGCATTGCGGTTGTAAGTCAAGGACTACCTGTACTAAGTTTTAGACGCATTAGCTACAAAGTTAAGAGATGAGATAACATAGTTCCTGTTTTGTGTTGTTCAATGCGCAAGTCAGCTTGTGCTCTCCCCCTCTGTGCAAGTTAGGGATGGTCAGGTCTCTCAGAAACCAACTGGGATCCTGGACATTTAACTCTGGTCATCTGGATGAGACATGATGGAGATCAAATGCATTTGGATATTTATGAGCCATGCCATAATAGGTTTCTTTGTTTTCTCTCCCCCAAGGGGACATCACCATCAAGATCCTTTCTCCAGTGAAGACCCAAGGATTGAGACTGGGTGATATCCCAGACTTAACAGACCGTGTGTGGGGGACCATCCTATCCAACTTCCATGAGCTCTCAGGAGAGCCTGGGGAAGAACCAAGCGTGGGCAAGGAAGACAGCAAACAAGCTCCCAATTACTAAGGAACTATTTCAATTCTCCCCCCACCCCCCACTTCATTGCTTCTTCTTGGGCTTTTTGTGGATCTACCCATTTATGGGTGGCCGTCTTGGGTGTCTGTGACCTGTGACCTGGACTTCTTGTGAGAAGAGCGCAGTTTCTTCTGAGAGAAAGCCAAGAGATCCTTGGGGAGCTCGTAAAAGTGGTCTTCCTCTTTGTTTGGGTTCTTCGAGTCCTGCTTCTCTTTCCCATACACTTTAAAGGGTAGAAAACTAAAATCAAAGGGAGCTCCACACAGCGCAAACCTGAGTAGGCCGGCTGTGGTTCCCAGAACAGGTTTCTCAGCTACGTTGCTGCTAGAGCTAGAACTGGGGAAGGCAGCGGGCATTGTGAGGCGAGCACCCGTTGCCACAGCAACCGGCATCTCCGATGCAAAAGGGACAGCTCCGCCCGAGCCAGAGACAGCCTGTTGGGAGGAAGAATTCACAACCTGATTGTGAGGCTGAACACGTGCCTCACAAACCCTCCCGAAGGCTGGAGCGGAGGCCGGTCTCCTTAACGTGGCCTCAGAGATCTCCGCTTTTTTTGCACACAGGTAAATATGGCGCAGGAGGACCATTTCATCGGACGCTTCCCTGACTCACTTTGGCCATGAAATGGGTTGTTGTGGGAGTCCCAGTCTTTGTGTTGCATAAACCGGGACATTGGATTAATAATCATCACGGGGTTGAACGCTTTAGGGAATGGCCAATTTTGTCAGTGTAGCCACTGTCTTTTGTTAACTCAGTTTAGTGAGTTATGTGAATGCAGCCAGAGGTGGTGGGGCTACAGGGTAATGCATCTGAGTTTTCCAGGGATTTGTACAGTGTATGTTGGTGGGAAAGAAAGTTTGAGGGAACTTTGTCAATTAACCCTGTCTTATTGTGGCTTTCCCAGTAGAAGACTAGATCCTGCAGCAATACTAATTATTCTTTTTCACCTAGGTAGTCTAAACTAAATGTCATATATTATGGAATATTCTGTATTCACTTTGAATATTGACATACTGCCACAATAATATATAGCTAGCCAGTTTATAAATCAACTCATGAAAAATATGGATGCTGTAAAAAAAAAATCAGTAAAATTTAATCATATAAGAAACATAGAGTATCCTTTGTTTGGATAATTGCATCCAAAGGCTTGTCTAAAAAGGCTGTTTCCATCATTTTTTGATAGGGGACCAAGATGGGATCTACCCAGATCTTTGCTGTGGGGGTGGGGAGCATATTCTAAAAGGTCAAAGTGTGGAGCATAAGAGAAGCAATGTTTCCAGGTTCTTCCATGAACACTCAAGGCTTCTTCCATATCTTTTGCTTGTCCGGACAGTTTAAAATAAACCTGTGTGACACATTCATTCCCCTTTCCTTTTTTTTATTCTTATCCAAACACTCTCAACAGAATTCCATGCTCAGCTTTGTGAATTTCAGTGCATATGAGCCTCTGTGGCGCAGTGGTTAGAGTGCAGTACTGCAAGCTACTTCTGCAGCCAGCTGCCTAAGTTTGGCAGTTCAGATCCCACCAGGCTCAAGGTTGACTCAGCCTTCCATCCTTCTGAGGTGGGTAAAATGAGGACCCAGGTTGTTGGAGGCAATAGGCTGACTCTGTCAACCGCTTAGAGAGGGCTGTAAAGTACTATAAAGCGATATATAAATCTAAATGCTAATGCTAATATGTATGCTTCCTTTGTATAGAACACAACTTCTCTTGTTTAGACGATTCCTTTTGAATAATTAGTAAACATCCGGGTTTGGGTTCTGATCCTAAATTTAAGCCTACGACACTGTATTTGTCCTCTTGTGATTTGAAATTCTCCCTGTTGTTTCCAACATTTGGGATAATGCAAGAGCTAGATTGTTAACAGTACCCCCGACTAGCTTTGGTGTTGCAGCTTTCTGCTAATCTAATCAGCATTAGTGCTCCAACATTGGAGGTTTCTAAGAAGAGACTGGGCGACTATTTGTTTGAAATGGTACAAGGTCTCCTGCTTGAGCAGGGGGTTGGACTAGAAGACCTCCAAGGTCCCTTCCAATGCTTTTAATTCTGTTATTGTTATTCTCTTAATCTCCAAATCATCCTATGGAGGCCCAGGTATCTTCCAACTTTTTATGGGAGACTGGGCGGAATGGGCCAACTCGCTGCAGTCAACTCATCACTGCCAACTTGCTATGATCAACTCGCCAAGGCCAACTCGCCATGGGACAACTCACCAGGAGACCATTCAACAGTACAATTTAATTATTTGTCATTCACATTTCATTTTGCCCCTCCTTTTCCATCCTTCTTTTAAATGATTCTATTCTACCACATCTTCGATATTAGTGTAACTCTTGTCCCGCAGTGAGCTGTCCTGCGGCGGGTTGGCTATGGCGATTTGTCATAGATCCAGGCAGGGATTGGTCAAATTTGCTCAAGGGGTAAAGAATGATCTTCTACAACAGGGGTGTCAAACTCAGTTTAATTGAGGGTCACATCAGGGTTGTGTTTGACCTTGATGGGCCAGGGTGGGCGGGGCCAGGGTTGGTGTGGCTAGCTTGACATCACTCATGTTGGGGGCACCTGTGGTGACCCAAGTGCTCTGCCAGTGAAAATGGGCTCCTGAGCTCCATTTTCAGCTGCAACAGCTCCATTTTTGCTGGCAGAGGCACTGCGGGCAGGTCCTCTGCTGTTTCCAGGGCAGCCCCGCGGGTCAGATCCAGTCCGCGGGCCTTGAGTTTGACACCCATTCTAGAGCAAGAGCTTGGTGTCAGTTGCTGAGTTCAATCTCCTGATTTTCTGACTCCTCAGGGTCATGTGCTTCACCTGTTTCCCTTTCCACAGGACTTACTCTTTTGCCCCTCCTAAGGGGCGCCACCTGTTCTACTGAAGACATTCTCATTTTCTGCAATACCGACATGTTGTGGCTCCGATTCCTGAGCCTGCGTTGTTAGAGGAAGAGGACTCGGAAGATGAGGAGGAGGAATTGGGAATGCCTTCCTCCCCAGGACCTTCCTCTTCGGCAATGCCTTCCTCCCTGATAATACCTCAGGTTTCAGCAGATAACCGAGAGGGACAGCCTGAGACTAATCAGGAGGAGGAAGGCATATCGGAGCAGCCTCTGACAGGGAATCAAGTAGACGAATGTTGGCTTGATCCGAGGCAGCGTCGCAGGAAGAAGTGTGAACTGCAACGTAGGAGGCGTGGGCGAATCAGAGAGTGAGCTGAGTTATTGAGACACACCCCATAGGGGATAAAAGTGGGTGTGTTTTCTCTGGAAACTCTGTACGGGACAAAGTGTTACTTTTCTGTCAGGCTTCGGTGTGTTTTGTTTCTTGAAAGCTTTAGTGATTAATTCTTCTGGTTATCTTGTCGGACTTGGCAGGCAGCGTTTGTTATAATGCCAAGAACATTGTCTGTATAAAGGAATTAATTCTGTAAATACTGAATCTTCTTGCCTCCCTGTATTTGTCGGAGTTTGGACTTTTCATCTTCCTTGGAAAGGTGAGACATAACACTGACATATTGCAGCATAGAAACGAAGTCCGTAAGCCTTTTACTTTCTCCATTAAGGACACAAGCTTCCAGTTCCAACAGGTTGGGCTTCTTTTTGAGCAAGAGGATTACACCCACCTCACAAATTGCTGAGAAACGTGTTTTGTTCTCCACACTGCTTGAAGTTTATTTGAGTATCCCTCTGGCCAAGTCTTAATTGCTCTCATTATTTGCTAGCTCATTGATCAAGCAGAAAAATAAATTACATTCAGGTCATCCTGTCAAGAGTATGCATGTCTGTAGCAGGCTTATTGCTGAATGTACGTATATTTCCATCCATCCAAACTCGTTATGAAAAAAAATAATGTAAATATAGCACAGCTGTAGCTTTAAGCAATAAGCAAGTTATAACTGCTATAGTTTAAAAAAGAAGCAGCAGCAGCTGAAGAAGCAATAAATTATTCAAAATGTAAGAGATTATAGCAGTTCTGGAAACTGAGGAGGGAATGGAGAAACAAACAAGTGATGAAATGTTTAAGGACACTCAGGGGCTAATAGCAATGAGTGTTCAAGAGAGAACAGCATATGAAATAGAGCAAATTACAGGAAGAATTTGGACAACCTAGGCTATTGGCTACCCTATGAAGATTAGAATTCGAATCATTCCCTTGCTGACTGTATCATATTAAAAACTGAACTTTAATATCTGAAAAGTTGATTGTTCTATTCCCATCCACTCAGTTTCTGGGCCCTCCAAATAAGTTTACCTATCTTAGATTCCGATACCGAAAAAGTAATTTCTCTGAAATGTCAATATTCTCACATTGTCAAAGTCACAATCGCGAGTCAGGGAAACACCTGCAAGTATTAAAATAGAGATGGACCTGGGGATATTCCAATTTTTAGAATTATCAAACTTTCAATTCCAAATAATGATAGGAAAGGGGACTGAACAAAAGTCCTTGGTGAGTTTGGTTGTCTGCCTGCAGCCATTTCATGACCTGACTAGGTAATATCATCAATGCACTGAGCAAAGAGAGCACCAAGGGCTCACAGTTCAATCCTGCGCTACACATATTGTCTTCTATTGGGAGTTTTGTGTTGAGGGCATGGCTTCATGGTCAGTGGTGGGATCCAAATTTTTTTACTACCAGTTCTGTGGGGGTGGCTTGGTGGGTGTGGCAGAGGAAGGCTACTGCAAAATCTCCATTCCCTCCCCACTCCAGGGGGAAGGTTACTGCAAAATCCCCATTCCCTCCCCACCCCACTAACCTGCTTTCCAGCTCTGTTCTCCTGTGCAGTGCAACAAAAGAAGACCCAGCCAATCAGCTGGGACTCGGGAGGCAGAGAAGAGATGGGGGCGGGGCCAGTCAGAGGTGGTGTTTGCTGGTTCTCTGAACTACTCAGAATTTCCTCTACCGGTTCTCCAGTACTGGTCAGAACCTGCTGAATATCACCTCTGTTCATGAGACACCCTATATTTTATCAGGTGAAAAGGTCAGCATGCCAAAGTTTGGTTTCCTTCTTTCCCAGTTCAGATCATTATGCCACTGATTGCAATTCCCTTCCATGACCTCACAACGTGAATGCCACACCTCCCCACGTCATGCCCTTGGCGTGGAATCCTTCCCTGCTAAAAATGTAACATTGACTCCTCTTCCCTGACAGGCCCAGGACTTCAACTGCAGTCATGGGACCTCCTGCTCACCTGCTGATAGGTCAGGTTGGTGCTGAGAAGTGGCACAAGGACACACGTACAACAGTACAAGAAGCCACTACATTGACAAAACGATGTGGCAAGGAGGCCCTGGATCTGTGGCGTCCTGCCAAAGTCCCTGGCCAAGCTGAGGAAACACCATACGAGCGCAAGCTGAAGATTGACTCCTGGAAATTCAAGATAGATGTCTCGGATTCTGGAGAGGTGAAGAGAAAACCCCCAGAGGGGCCAGGAGTGACTCTATGGAAAAGCAAAATGAAGCCTCCGCCTTGGGTTTGCAAGTTAGCCTTGCCTTCCTCCAGGGACTATTGCAACACAAAGAACAATGAATATGTGGCTCAGTACTTCAGGGAGACACGCCTGGTAGTCAGTCGCATGCGCCAGGCTCTTATTGAAATCAACGAGCAGTTCAAGGGAATAATGCGTATGCGGCAGAAATTGGGTGCCATGTTGGATAAAATCTGCCAGGGCCTCGTGACCAACAAGCAGAGCAAAGCCATCCGAGAGCACCGGGCAGAAACAGAAAAGGTGAGATCAGCATTCCTGTCAAATCCACCTCCTTCCTTGATTTGTTGTTATAGTTGTTCAATCACTAAGCTGTTTCCAACTCTTTGTGAGCCCATGGACCACAGCCCGCCAGGTCACCCTGTCCTCCACTGTCTCCTGGAGTTTGCCCAAATTCATGTTCAGTGCATTGATGACACTATCAAACCATCTCATCTTCTGCTGTCCCCTTCTCCTTTTGCCTTCAGTCTTTCCCAACATTTCTTCCAGAGATGGCATTCAGCAGGTTCTGACCAGTTCTGGAGAACCGGTAGCGGAAATTTTGAGTAGTTCAGAGAACCGGCAAATACTATCTCTGACTGGCCCCGCCCCCATCTATTCTCTGCCTCCTGAGTCCCAGCTGATTGGCTGGGTCTTCTTTTGTTGCCCTGCACAGGAGAACGGAGCTGGAAAGCAGGTTAGTGGGATGGGGAGGGAATGGGGATTTTACAGTAACTTTCCCCTGCCACGCCCATCAAGCCAAGCCACACCCACAAGCCACGCCCACAGAACCAAGTAGTAAAAAAAAATTAATCCCACTACTGATCTCTTCCAATGAGTCCTGTATTTCATTTGGTGGCCAAAGTATTTGAGATTCAGCCTCAGTATCTGTCCTTCCAAAGAACAGTCAGGGTTGATTTCTTTCAGGATTGACTGATTTGATCTCCCTGGTGTCCAAGAGACTCTCAAGATTTTTCTCCAACACCTCAATTTGAAAGCATCACTTCTCTAGTGCTCAGCCTTCTTTATGGTTCTACTCTCACAGCCATACATTACATGCTAGTGAGTACCAAAGACTCACTCATGGTTTATTCCTCTTAATACATTACAAATATCAGTTTTTCAAACTCTGATCTTCTTTTATAAGGTGATCAGTATACAGTAATGGTGTTCACCTATCACAGTAACATCATATAATATTGCTTGCTTGGTTCCACCTGAGTTCAGAATTAATTCAGCTATTTTAAATCGTAAACTGGAGTTGCGACCTAATGCATTGTATGAACCCAGCTCATTGATTGGGCAAGCCATGATTAAACTATTCATAGTTCAGAAAAAATGAAGTGTATCAGTATCACCTAGGAGGAAAGTAAGCACTCAAGCACTCAGTATTAGTACAAGGAAATTATTTTGCTGTTTTTTAAAGAATGTATGTGCAAAAATATTGTGTTCTTTGCATGGCACATCTAATCATGAACAAACTTATTCTGAAGAACTGACTAATGATTTCCTTTTTCCAATATTTGTTATATTTAATACAGATGTTCTATTTAATTACCTGAGCTATTATTGTGGCAAGAGTTAATTTCCATGGATTTCTTTAATTAATTTTTATAACTTGTTCTGAATTTGTGAGCATTATTTTGAGATCATGTGGCAATGTGAATGACTGAATGAAAATGTACTTTATCAGTCTTGAAACTATTATTTAACTGAATAAACTTTCTGTTATATGATAATAATCTTGTCTAAACTTTTCATAAGAGATTTTATATTTTATGCCTTTCCAGCTTTCTCCATGATAGTACATTAGATAGACAGATAGATAGATAGATAGATAGATAGATAGATAAAGAGAGATATGGATGATAGATAGATAGATAGATAGATTGATAGATTGATAGATGATAGACAGATAGATAAGAAAAATAATAAAGACAAAATTGGAATAGTAATCACAATGAGTTGCCCATTTCGTCTGATTTTATTTTAGGAAGATTTTTTTTTCTGTTCTTCTATTTGTGTATCCTGACACACACAATTTAATTTGCTATCAACCATTCTTGTCTTGGAGAATTATGCTCAATGACTACACATTTTTTTTAATTGATTGTTTGATGTGCCAGATTCTGATGCATTCTCTGACAATCTTATTTATATTTACATCTAATTGTTTTTAGTGGTTATTTAAGACTGTTTTAATTATTGATTTTATTGCATATCACCATTTGTGAGATGGGTAGGTATATAAACTTGTCAAACAAGCAAGCAAGCAAATAAATATTTCCTTTCTGGCATGTAGATATCTGACAAAGTAGATGTACTCATGAAATGGGAAAAGGAGGAATTTACGAAACTGAAAATCAAACTGCAGGATATGATGGCCTCGTCAGGAGAACATCTTAAGGTAAGGAATCAAATAGATGAAAAAAAGGAAGGCAGGACCCCATGATCCATACTGGTAGATATTCAGTGGCTATTGACAGATGAAATAAGCAAAGCAGAAAATATAGCGAGGCTTTAGATTTGTCCAAGATTTGTGTATTTCATGGGAAAGAACCAGTGAAATTACCTTTTCAAAATCTGTAATCCTCTGTACCTCAGAGATTGAAAACCATATCTTGAAAGATGAAATTCTGACCAGTTAATTTGTATGGAACTGAGAATCACAGCTGGTGGGACAGCACAGTTAAGTTTGTACTTGGCAAACTTAGGGCTGTGTGGAACCCCAAAGCAAAGGGACTGCTCCTTGCTTGGCTTAGAGCAGGCAGGGTGCTCCTAAAACACAACTCAGTCTGCAGTTATCTGTAAGGATTGAACCTAGATACAATTTAAATTTTTCAGAGTTTCAGGCTCTCTTATCCTAGGCTTATCCTATAGAAGCCTGCTGAAGTACAGGTAGTCCTCGACTTACAACAATTTGTTTAGTGACCATTCGAAGGTACAGTTAGAAAGTTACAAGAGCCATGGTGGCGCAGTGGTTAGAATGCAGTACTTTAGGCTACTTTTGCTGACTGCCGGCTGTCTGCAATTCGGCAGTTCAAATCTCACCAGGCTCAAGGTTGACTCAGCCTTCCATCCTTCTGAGGTGGGTAAAATGAGGACCCAGATTGTTGTGGGCAATAGGCTGACTCTGTAAACCGCTTAGAGAGGGCTGTGAAGTGGTATATAAGTCTAAGTGCTAGGCTATAATAGCATTGGAAAAAGTGACTTATATGATTGTTTTAAAAAGTGACTTATATGATCGTTGCAGCAACCCCTTGTTCAGATGATCCAAATTCAGGTGCTTGGCAACTGTCTCATATTTATGAACGGTTGCAGTGTCCTGGGGTCAAGTACCCTTTGTGATTTTCTGACAAGCAAAGCCAATGGGAAAGCCAGATTCACAATAACCGTGTTACTAACTTAACAACTGCTGTGATTCACTTGAAACCTGTGGCAAGAAAAGGTCATAAAATGGGGCAAAGCTCACGTAACAACTATCTCACTTGGCGACAGAAACTTTGGGCTCAGTTGTGGTCGCTACCTGTAACTATTACTAACGCAAAGGTACTGAGAATTGGGTTAACATGATTATGCCAGTTGTAGAAATGGAGGATTTAAAAAAACATCCTCTATTTGCCATTTAGAAATGGCTGAGGATCTCTGTTGGAAAAGTGAAACTGCCGCTGCAGAAGGCAAGTTTACTGAGGAGAGAATCCAAATCATTGCTGGTGTCAGCTAACCCAGAGATAGGGCTTCTTTTCTTAACTTTGGGGCAGTGGTGGGATTCAAATTTTTTAAACTACCGGTTCTGTGGGCATGGCTTTGTGGGCGTGGTGTGGGTTTATGGGTGTGGCTTTGTGGGCATGGCTGTGGAAGGATACTACAAAATCCCATTCCCTCCCTACCCCACTAACCTGCTTTCCAGCTCCGTTCTCCTGTGCAGGGCAACAAAAGAAGACCCAGCCGATCAGCTGGCACTCGGGAGGCACAGAATAGATGGGGGTGGGGCCAGTCAGAGGTGGTATTTTCCGTTCTCCAAACTACTAAAAATTTCCACTACCGGTTCTCCAGAATTGGTCAGAACTTGCTGAATACCACCTCTGTTTTGGGGGCTACTACAGCCAAGTGGAAGAGGATTGGGCTAGTTTAGGATTATATCTAAGCCTAATTATAAGCCTTGTTGTTGTTAGTTGCAAAGCCGTGTCCGACCCATGGACAACGTTCCTCCAGGACTTCCTGTCCTCTACCATCTTCTGGAGTCCATTTAAGCTCACGCCGACTGCTTCAGGGACTCCATCCAGCCACCTCATTCTCTGCCGTCCCCTTCTTCTTTTTTTGCCCTCAGTCGTTCCCAGCATTAGGCTCTTCTCCAGTGAGTCCTTCCTTCTCATTAGGTGGCCAAAGTACCATGTTTCTCCAACAATACGACCTCCCCCAATAGGAAGTCCCAGCATGCTTTATAGGCATAAAATCAAATTAAGCCCCTCCCCCCAAATTAAGGCCTATATAAAACATGCAAAATGGGGGGAATGGTGGGGGGGCTGGCCATTAGGAAGTACTTTTGTTGCATACCCGGATATGGTGCTGCCTACGTTGACCTCGGCGTTGGTGGGGCACTTCGTATCGGGAGACCTTCCGCCACTGTTGCTTTCCCTTCTCCTTGTGCTGCCGCGGCTTTTAAAGCAACGCCGCGGCATTTGGGACAGCCATGCGCGGCCAGCCAGGGCTCCTCCCTGCAACTGGAGCCCGGCGGAGACACTCAGCTTCAGGCGCTCCTGTCGCTGCCTTCCCTTTGCCTTCAAAGGCAAAGCCAATTCTTTTAAAAACGACGCCCTACTACCGGTATGACAAAGACTCCCCTGCCCGAGAGGGCAGCCCAACCCCACGTGGGGAGGCGAATCTCCCAGGGCCGCAGCTCACCCCGGGAGAAGCGCCCAGCCGTCATCCCTGCCTGGCGCCGGGCAGAGTGCAAAGAGCTTCGCCTGGGGCTCCCAGCGCAGCTGACAGGCGGGCCCTCCTGCCCGGCGGCGGAGCTCTCACCAAGGCAGCGAGCACCTCCCCACCGGACCCTCCGCTCATCCCGCCAGAGCCATGCAGTCTGGGCAGAGCTGGGAAAGCGAGCCGCGGGTGCGCACCCGCCTGCCAACTGAAAGAGCCGGGCTGACCTGAGCTTGGCTTCCTTCCCAAGTCCCTCAAAGCCCGAACCCGAAGGGGCCACTGGGAGAGGCTGCCCGAGGCAATGATAGCGCCCACCCGTCCGCGGACAGGGAGGCAAAGCGACAGCAGCGCTGCTTCCCTGGCCGGTGGGTCTGGCGGAGAGAGCCCGAAGCCGCCACCCTTTCCAACCATCACTTAGCCCGTCCCTGTCCTCACGCATCTCCAAATGCGCCGGCAGCTCCAAACGCTGCAGCGGCATGGGCATTGGGCAGAGGCGCTCACTCAGCGGGGCTCAGCTCAGAGGAGGACGCGGCGCCTTGCCTCCCTGTCCACGGATGGGTGGGCGCTATAACTGCCTCGGGTGGCCTCTCCCAGTGGCCCCTTCAGGTTCGGGCTGGAGGGACTTGGGGAGGAAGCCAAGCTCGGGTCGGGCCGGTTCTTTTGCTTGGCAGGCGCACGCGCACTCACGGCTCGCTTTCCCAGCTCTGCCCAGACTGCATGGCTCTGGCGGAGTGGAGGGTCCAATAGGGAGGCGCTCGCTGCCTTGGCGAGAGCTCTGCCACCGGGCAGGAGGGCCCGCCTGTCAGCTGCGCTGGGCGCCCCAGGCGAAGCTCTTTGTGCTCTGCCCGGCGCCAGGCAGGGATGGTGGCTGGGCGCTTCTCCCAGGGTGGTCCGATCCTGCTCTGTGGCCCCAGGAGATTCGCCTCCCCACGTGGGGTTGGGCTGCCTTCTCGGGCAGGGGAGTCTTTGTCGTACTGGTAGTAGGGCGTCACTTTTAAAAGAATTGGCTTTGCCTTCGAAGGCAAAGGGAAGGCAGTGACAGGAGTGCCTGAAGCTGAGTGTCTCCGCCAGGCTCCGGTTGCAGGGAGGAGCCCTGGCTGGCCGCGCATGGCTGCGCCAAATGCCGTGGCATTGCTCTAAATGCCGCGGCAGCACGGGGAGAAGGGAAAGCAATGGTGGCGGACGGTTTCCCGATACAAAGTGCTCCACCAACACCGAGGTCAACATCCAAGCCATCACCGCCCACCCGCCCGAGGATGCAAGGGGGGGGGAATTAAGTCACCCCCGAAAAGACGGCCTAGCCGTTTTTTGGGGGGTCAAAAAAAAATAAGGCCCGGCCTTATTTTGTGAGAAACACGGTATTTGAGTTTCATCTTCAGGATCTGGCCTTACAAAGAGCAGTCAGGGTTGATCTCCTCTAGGAGTGACTGGCTGGATCGCCTTGCAGCAAGCTGAATAAAAGTATTTGTTTCATCTTTGGTTTCTTCATTATCAGCACCCAATTTATTGCAGGAACTAGCTACATGCAGGGAAACCCTCAACACCCTGTGTGGCGAACGTGGTCGTGTGCTCGACCTGATGCCCCAGCCTCTGCGCATGGTTCTCTTAGGGGCTGGACGTGATTCCTGGCTTGGCCTAGACCGGCCCTCATCCCCCTGGGTGGAGAGAAATGAAACCCCAATTCCAAACCCCGTGGGACCATTCACACCAGGTAATTGCTTTAACTTTTGGGAAATGTACAGAAGTAAATTCTTAAGAGACATAGTTTGATACGACTTACTGGTTATCAAGTAATAATACAAAGGAAGAAACAGGTTAAATGCATTTCACATATTAGCAAATACTTATCTTTTCCTATTGTATCAGTGGCAATTCAAGAAACAAACTACAAATGAGAACGTTACCTGTTGAAGGACAGGCTTTTACAGATACCTGTTGCAGACAAATTTATCTGCCCAGCCCTTCATAAAGTGGGAAAATTTATAGGCTCTTGGGTTGCTTTTTTCTAGGATTTCTCAGAAGTTCCACAGGCAACTAATTAATGTACACCTCTTAAGACCTCCATAAGAACTCATCAGAATCCTCAAATGGTGTAGTTGCTACAGTATCTCGCACAAAACCAAGGGGGTGTGGCAGACTGTACAGAGATTTCAAAGACAAAAACAATCAGCAGATAGGAAAGGTTTGCTAAAATGACAGCCTGAGAAAAAAAAATTCAACACTTCAAGGAAATTAGCACGATTAATAAGCTAATTAATAAAGAAGGGCTACGTGATTTATCTCAAATCTCTAGATTCTTGCTCTAACCCTCAATTTTTGGCATTAAAACTAACTGAGAAAAGTTGGGATAAATCTTTTTTTCTCCAATCATGCTCTGCAGTTAAGGAGCTTGGTGTCTATCCAGACACTTAAAAGATAAACATCACTCAGAGTTAGCCCTGTATGCTCTCAAATTAAGTGCTTTCCTTCACAGATCAGACAAGCAGGCTAGAGCATGTATTTTCATAAGGGGATCATCCTATCAGGAGAAACCTCATCACCGCTGTTTCTCCTTTCCACTTTTAAATCTTTATTATTGTTATTTCTGTCCCCTCAAATTCATAAAAAAGAAAGGATAAAATGAGAGGCAAAGATAAAACCAAAACGAAGTACAGAGATGATATTCTCTTCTCAAGCCAAATTTCCAGATATTGTTTTCCCAAAATACAATCTACCTTGAAAGTAAATCCTAGCTAGATTTTTATACACGTGCCCAATATAAGCCCTACCCACCCCCAAAATAAGCCCTAATTAAGATCCCGCCCACTCCAGAGTGCAGAGGTAAAAATTAAGCTAGGATGGGGATTGGGGGGGGGGGGATGGAACTGCCCTACTACTTACCTTTGGACAGTTGTAGCTGGGCCTTGCACACCCCAACACCTGCCTCGCCAGCCCATTTCTTCTGCAGCCAGCAAGGCTTTCCTGAAGGCCTCAGTAGCTGATAACAAAGATCCGGATCAATCCAGAGCTCTGTTATTGGCTGAAAAGGCCTTCAGGAAAGCCTTGTTGGCCGCAGAAGAAGAAGTTCCTGAAGGCCTCTGACAGCGAAATGAAGGCCGGGGGCGACATACACAAGTGAGGTTAGTCAGTGGATGACATCCCCCCAAAATAAGACCTGGTGCCTTTTTTTGGTGGCAAAAAAATATATATGAGAGGATCTTATTTTGGGGGGAAACACGGTAGATGTACTATACTACAGTATATTAGGGATGCACTCATTTTTAATTGGGCTAATCTAGTTGGCCCAAGAGTTGTTGGCATATTCAAGATTTTAGAATTTTTTCCTGAGAAAACACTGCAGGTAGATTTAGGAACTTGCAAGTGGTAATGACCTCAATCCAGAGACTTAGCCCAGCACATAACTTTTAGTCCAAATCTATGATCTAAAGGTAAATCACACAAGCAACATAGGAGAAATTTCAATTAAAGAAGATTAGATTTTTTTTCATAAATAACCTGTCCTTGCTTATTTCACTGGCAAAGAAAAGGAATCAAAGCTGGATTGAATCATAAGCTATATTCAACAAGCAAAGCAGATTTGAAAAGAACTCTTTATTTCCTCTTCATTTCATTACTGCTATTCTCCAGAGTGTGCGGGAGCTATAGAAGATGCCCGGCGTCTTACTGTTCTCACCAAAGAAGTGATGCTTCAGTTACAAAAAAGTATCAATGAGGCACAGGATACCCGCAATGCTGTGCACAATGCCATTGAAAACAGATTGCAAGGCAAGATGGAGGAGACTCTCGGTCATAAGGTAATGGGAGATACCCTGGTAGGTTTACTGTAACATAGGTGACGTTTAGTCAGACAGACAATCAATCAATCCACTGATCTGCGCAAAAAGCAAATTCTGAGGCAACAAATATAAATTTTAATAAAACTAAACGATTACAAAATGGAAGTAGGTTGATATCCTGTTCTGTTTCTTAGCAGCAGCATGTCATTAGGGTTTTGTCTTTCTCTAGAACAGAATCGAAAACATATGCTACTCCCCGCACCCCATCCCTGCAATTTTCTGGAGCTTGCTGCCAAAGAACACAGCGTAATTTTTTAGAATAATCTGCTGATGGATAGAAAGAAGTCCAACCTTTGCCTACCCCACTGCCCAGTTCACACAATTTGTTAAAACACTGACGACTGGATAGTTTGTGATTTACAGTCTCAAATGGCAATGCCCTGGCTGATCCCATACATTCAGCAGAGTTGTCCCTAGTCAATATTTAGAAGGGACCTTCTAGCACAGCAGTGGCTAAACTTTTTGGGCTCCTGTGCTAAAATTTTTGCATGTGCTTACACGTGCGTGCTAGTGTGCCAGCACCCAGAAGGCAATGCGCGTGCGCCCCCCACCCCCTGCACATGCGTGCGCAACCCCCCCATCGCCCCCTTACCTGCACTGCACCTCCCAGGTGATTTTCGGCCTCCCAGTCTTGAGGAAAGCTTCTGCAGGCTTTGCAGGCCAAAAAATGGGCCCATTTCGTCACTTTCGGTATTTTCGGAGGTACAGGAAGTGACAAAACGGGCCTATTTTTTGGCCTGCAAAGGCTTTCCTCAAGCCTCTGGGAGGCCAAAAATCAGCTGTGAGGTGCATGCATGCGCAGTGAGGTAAGTCTGCCTGTGGCTCGCATGCCGGCACAAATGGCTCTGCATGCCACCTGTGGCAGGCGTGCCATAGGTTCGCCATCATGGTTCTAGCATTTCCAGGACTGAAGACTAGGACAGGAAGGTTGAAAAAACATTTCTGAAGAAGCCAGAAAAGGTAAATTGGCTTTACCTTTTTAGTCTGTGGTTTTGTTTATGTATTTGTTGTTCCTTTAATGTTACATGGCTGCCCATCTCACCCAAAACAACTGTAGGTGTCATACAACAAAGTTGTTGAGGACCCAGCTATCGTTTTCCATGCTGTATGAACCGGGTCTTATTAAGCCATATTTGCTCAGGCATGTTAAGTGAAGGCAGAAAATACAGGTTTTTTTTTTAAATAAATCCAGATTTAGACCTTAGTGTTATATTAATTCAACCCATCAGAATCTCTCTTTCCTATCAGTTTTTAATGGAACTTAGTGGACTTCAACTCCCAATATTGCCTAGTCAATATGCTGCCAATATGCTGTCAATACTGATCTACACAGGTAGTCCTTGACTTACAACAGTTCATTTAGCGACCGTGTGAAATTATGGCACTGGAAAAAGTGACTCGTGACAATTTTTCACACTTAGGACCATTGCAGCATCCCCATGGTCATGTGATCAAAATTCAAATGCTTCACAACTGACTCATATTTATGTCGGTTGCAGTACCCCGAGGGTGTGTGTCATGTGATCCCCTTTTGTGACGTTCTGACAAGCAGTCAATGGGGAAGCCTGATTCACTTAACAACCATGTCTCTAACTTAATGACTGCAGTGATTCACTTAACAACTGTGTCAAGCAAGTTCATAAAATGGGGCAAAACCCATTTAACAAATGTCTCATTTAGCAACAGAATTTTTTGGGCTCAAATGTGGTCATTAAGCCGAGGACCACTTGTACTTTTAACAGCAGACCTTTTAATCCCATCCTGTTCTCAAACTTTGTATCTAGAGAAGTGATGGATACTAAGGATCCTCCTGATCCTAGGATGTAGGGCTTAAAAAGCTTTAAAATTATATTTGGAACTTTAGCATGTCTGATAAACCCTGGTTCAATTATTCCTTTATTCTCTCTCTCCATGCCAGGAAAAATTAGATATAACTCTGGGAGGAACACGCAGTACTCTGCACCGCTGCCAACGTTTCCAGCATGAGATGCGTCTCAATCGTGGATTGACACTGGTGAGATATGAAGGGCTGGGAGCCACCTGTGCTGTAATTCTCTCCCTTAGCCCACTCCAACTCTGATTGTTTAGAATAGAATAGAATAGAATAGAATAGAATAGAATAGAATAGAATAGAATAGAATAGAATAGAATAGAATAGAATAGAATAGAATTCTTTATTGGCCAAGTGTGATTGGACACACAAGGAATTTGTCTTGGTGTGTATAACAATAGCACTTAGACTTATATACTGCTTTATAGTGCTTTACAGCCCTCTCTAAGCGGTTTACAGTCAGCATATTTGGGTCCTCATTTTACTGACCTCGGAAGGATGGAAGGCTGAATCAACCTTGAGCCTGGAGGGATTTGAACTGCCAAACTGTAGGCAGCTGGCTGCAGCAGAAGTAGCTTGCAGTACTGCACTCTAACGACTGTGCCAGAGGCTCCTCAGTGTTCATAAAAGAAAAGATTTATTTAAAACATTTATATAGCTGCCCATCTTTCAACCAATTCTGGGTAACTCCCAATCAAAAATTAAAAAAAAAACATTGAAAACTATGAAACACAATATTTAAAATATTTATATAGCTGAATTAGCTGGAGTTTGATTGGAAAAGTGTTGCTTTTCTATCCATTAGAATCCATCTTTGCTTTGAATTTATATCTACAGGGTCCTGAGAGTATGAAGTACCTGGAGACACGGGAAAAGCTGACACGGCCAATGGTGCGGACGTATCAGAGACACGTGGGAACACAATTGCCTGAAGCTACAATTGTCCAGCAGGTAAGGGTATATTTCTAGCCTTTGTGTAGGATGTATGACACAGTCTTACAGACCATGAATTTTGGCATGGGCAGAAAATACAGGAAGTTTCTCAAAACAGCACTAAAGCCATTTTTAGCAGGTGAGCTTAATTGTTTGTTTGCTAATTTGGTCAGTGAGACTTGCAGTGTTTATGCCATAAAATGCTAAATTGAATTATCTGTGGGGTTCTTGGTGCTCTTTTCTTGGTGGTTTTCTCATAGACATTTCATTATCCAACTAGGTAACATCATCAGTGCTAGAAGGGAGTGTGGTTTGTTCTCTGTTTATATACAGTATAAGTAGCTTGCCCTGTCACTGTTGGTGGAAGTTTTTTTTTAAATAGTTCCTTGATTAAAACACCTCAATAGCAGTCAACACCCAGATAATCAGAGATTAACACCAGGATTAACATCAGACCAACAGTCAAGCAGCAAACAATATCCCAAATGAGGAACTGCCAACTTAAACAATCAAAGAGTAAACAACAGCCTAATCAAGGAATTACCAAGAATTAAACAACAATCCCATCAAAGACTGGCAGGGCAAATCACTTGTATATAAACAGAGAGCAAACCCCACTCCCTCTATTCTGATGATATCACCTAGTCAGGTAATGAAATGTCTGCAAGAAAACAACCAAGGTCAGAGAGCACCAAGGACCTCACAGTTCAACCCTGAGTTGGAAATATTCTCTTCTATTGAATTAACTGTACACCTCATTGTGATGCAAAACAGTGGATACAAAACTGACTTGCAAATATATCCTCTCGGGCTTGCAAACCCTTCCTTACTTTTTCTTCTCTACTGTTGCTTTTTTTTTTTTACCCAGTCCACTGAAGAGTTAGATTGCAGCATGGAAGATACGGCCATGAATATCCAGCATCTAAAAGCCACTCAGAAGTACTTGAACGAATGCATTCATAACAAGCTGACAGGCTATGAAGTTGACGGTAGTATCAAACGGCTGCGGCAGCGCCGTATGCATCCACGCACCAACATGAATGAGATTTTTGAATTGGTCTATACCTAGAAAGCCCGGCAAATAATTCATGCTAAAATAAAACCTGGATACTTATAGTAGTCAGTTTCTTTCTAGTTGAGGAGGGGAAAATATTCAATGGGCAGTGATAATAGAATGGAATACCAAATTCAAAATATTCTTAGTCAGATTCCTAAAATAGAAGGGAATATGGCTGCTTAACGTAGATTGTGGTGTAGAAGTTAAGATAGTAGAGGTTAAGGTAGTGGGAAGACTCTGGTTCAAATCTACCATTAGCTATGGAAGCTCACTGGATGACTTTGGGCTATTAATTCTCTCTCAGCTTAACCTACTTCACAGGACAGCTGTGAGAAAATATGGAGGAGAAAGCACTATTTAGCTCCTGCAACAAAGGCAGGAGATAATTCAGTCAAACGAAGGTCACTGTTACTGTTTTCCCCTATTGTAAACCTAATTACTAAATCCAAATTTATGTATAGTAGCAAAATGTTTGTGCTAAATACTGAGCACACAATACACAGAATCAAAGAACTGGAAGGGATCATTTAAAGTCAATGTATTGTGTCTGAGGTTCTTAATACTTTCCTGCAAGAGACCAATTTCTTTCCTCCTAATTTAGGAATTAATTTTGATTTTCTGGAAAAAGAAAAAACAGAGATCCAAGTCCACTAGTGAGATATCTTCTTTTTAATAGGTGCATTCTTGTATTTGTTATACCATTCTTAAGACATATAAGATGTTAATTCTCCCTGGATATTGTAACTTCTGATTTCAGAATCTTTTCTTCATTGAATGGAGATTCTTTGACCTGATATATTGCAGCCCCACCATATGTAAGAATGAGAAATCAAACTGTCATGTTAATTTTTATTTATTTATATCTTACCTTTATTATTTTTTAAAAAAACAACTCAAGGTGGCAAACATACCTTATACTCCTTCCTCCTCCTATTTTCCCCACAATAAAAGCAACCCTGTGAGGTGAGTTGGGCTGAGAGAGAGTGGCTGGCCCAATGGCTGGCATTTGTGCCTAAGTTGGGACTAGAACCTATGATTTCCTGATTTCTAGCCTGGTGCCTTAACCACTATATCAGTCTTTAGGACATTTTTAGGCACCATAAAATTACTAAACCTATTGTTTTAGGTTTTTTTGTGAATCTATTCAAACCCAGTATCCACATAACAACACATTACTTTTTTCAGCAGGACTCTCTCAACCAGCTGCCCTGGACCTGTTTTTAATATGTGCATAGTACCAGAGAGCTACCTTTATACTGACTGCCAGGAGGCAGGCACTTACACAGCTAGTTTAGGTCCTCATTGGGAATTCATAGTAGTAGACAGATAAATGTTATTCTACGGGATTCAAACCTCCCACCAGAAATTGAACTCCTAAAGTTTTACACTTCAAATGATTGCATACAATGCATTAGCTATCTAGAGGAGCTATCTAGATTCTGGCCTCAGTAATTGCAGGGAAGAATATATGGAAGCTATCTTCCCTTAAACTTTTAGAGCAGCAACATACTGATGTTAAATTATGTCATGTCTCTGTATATGGGGATTTTTACTTAATTCTAATAGCTACAATTGTTTCTGTAATGCCTCTGCATATAGCAATAGTTTAAGTTACTGAAATAAATTATCTGGTGATGATTTAGTGCTGCCAGGTTTATTGGGAGAACTGTGTGGACTCTGGGGACAATCTTACACAATTTTAATCCTTTAAAACTTAACATTGATTAAGATGTTGGGACATATCAAATAGTTCTTCAGCATTAATTTTTGTGAAGAAAGAACTAAAGCAGATGTTATTCGTACAAGTGCCACTTGGAGGGAGATTCTCTCATGAAAGGGTTAAAGGAACAGAATTATTCAGTTCTTTTCTCTAGAGAAGTCCTCCAACTTTTCTGACACTCATGACCTTTATGACCTCCTCTGGATTACTGCAATGCACTCTACATGGGGCTGCCCTTGAAAAGCATATGGAATGCAGCTGCACAAGTAGTAAATGGTGTTGATTACTTGGCACATGCAACAACACTATTCTCTGTGTTGCAGTGGTTGCCAGTTTGCTTCTGGGTACAATTCAAGGTGCTGGTTGCCATCTTTAAAGTTCTTTATGGCTTTGGACCAGGTTATCTGGGGCACTGTCTTTTCCCAGTTGTTTCTACCCAACCAATCTAGTCTGGCAGGATGGGCTGCCTGGGTCCTGCCAGCCAGGAAATGTGATTTTTCTGCTATAGCACTTGTCCTATAGAACATTCTCCCTCTGGAGATCAGGATAGCCTTGACTTGCTAAGGTCCTAAAAAGGCTTAATTATGTATCTAGGCATGAGGGCCCAATGGGACAAGTGTCCCATCTCCTGGCAGTGACAAAACCCATGGATTATAAGTTTTTTTTAACTGCTGTATGTAGCTTAATGTTTGCAATGTGATGGTGACTTGTTATTGGATTGTTCATTGCCCAGGATCACTTGTTAATGAGATAGGCAGGCATACAGGTTGAATCAATTAATGAATAAATAAATATAAGTGGAAAGTAAAGGCAACTTACCTTCACTTAAATAGATTATGCCCCACCTAGTTTCAGTAAACAAAACAATGAAAGCTGATCGAATGCACCTGCACAAAAGAGATTTTAATATGCAAGATCTCTCTTGTCAATATTTATAAAGAAAAAAAAGAGTCTGGGACATTAGAATCACCAGGTTCAAAAATCTGTGCGAGATGCAACCAACCGTAAATAATCTTTGTTTCTCCTGATCCCACCTACTAGGCACGAGGAGTTTTGCAACCCAGATCGGGTAGCCGACCTCACGAGTAATATATGGAGATTCTCAGTCATCCAGGTCATGGTCGTCTCAAAGGTGCTTTTTCAAGAGGCACCTGGACTTTCTGGTTTTTCTTTGAAAAAGTTTCGCTTCTCATCCAAGAAGCTTCTTCAGCTCTAGCATAATCTGGCACCTTTTTCAGCGCTGAAGCAGCTTCCTGGATGAGAAGCGAAGCGTCTTCAAAGAAAAAAAAAACAGGAAAGCCCAGTTGCCTCTTGAAAAAGCACCTCTGGGACGACTTAACGACCGGTTCAATTACACAGAAATAAAACTGATGCCGGGGAAAGGCTGAAGGCGCAAAGCAAACCGCCTCAATAACAACAACAATAATAATAAAATGATGCTGTATCAAGTCCACTTTCGTCCGCCACCGCTCTAACTCAGACGCTACTCGGAATTGGAAAGGCCCAACTCCGCATGCGCTAAAAACGTCTAAAACATGCGACTTCTTCGGACCCGAATGGCGCCACGGAGTGAGGAGGAGCGCATGCGCAAACGCGCCGGAAGCCGGTAGCCCGTGGATAAGTCTTCGAGAAACCCCGTGTGTGGCCCTTTTCTGTCTGAGCCAGCGAGCGGCACACGGGGAGGTGAGGGGAGCGTCTCCATGTGGGCTTTTACCTCCGCGAGTCTAAGGGAATAAGCGACGGGATCCTACTTGGTCCGAGGGTTGGGAGTAGGGAGAGGCTCTGAGGGAAAGGCCTGGGGTTCGGGGGGTGGACAGAATCCGTTGAGAAATGAGGCCGGGGAGCCCTTAGAGCACGTGATCCGGCACAGCAGAGAAAGACACGGTGGCATAACATTTAATTACTGAATAAAATAAAATATAACACAATAAAAGCAACAGTAATTATTCCGAGGCGGCTTTTGTAGGCCGGTCCATCCCTTTACCACCCTGCACCCTTCCAATATGCTGGGACTTCATGGCTCCAACGTGGTCATGCTGACTGAAATGGGAGTTGTAGTCCTGATTCAGTAAGAGGGAAAGGTCGGGCTTCACATCTTAACTTGACTAGTGAACCCTTTTTTTCCTCTTTTTTGGTAATTTTTGGCGCCTCCTAATTTCTGAAATGAACTTTCCTGAAGGAGAAATGATCTGTTTTTTAAGTATAGCCGTTTTGAGAGAGAGAAAGACTTTTGAGTGCGAACCTGGTCAGGTTTTTTCCCCCTCACTTAGATTTCATTTTCAGCTTGTGTGGTTCTGCACTGCTCTTCATTGTTCTTATGGGTGTATTGGTATTTCATGACCCAATTCTCCTGTCCCTTTATACAGTAGGCCATTTTCCACCACCCCCACCAGCGTTTTCTTCACATTCCTACTCACCTGGCCCTCCAACTAACTTATGTAAACAGTCAAGGACAGCCTCCAAAATTTATAGAATATATATGATCTTTTGGTAATAACCCACCATGTTATTATCAAGATTTAAATGATCTGATAAGCCTGAATTTGGAAAGGGGGAATGTATTTGTAAATTTAGTTTACAACTATAATTAGTCTTGAAATAAGAGTGTAATGGTACATGGTAGTCTGGCACCTAACCCTGTCAAATGAATGAGCATTGTAGTACTCCATGTTTTTCCAGGTACATGGGAATTACAGGCCATTTGGATTCATTCTGATAGCTCTTCTACATTATTAGTATTGGTTATGAATTAGAGCTGTGCAATTAAGTTTCTTCACAAACAAAATATTTCTGTATTATGAATTGGATTAATTTGCATAGCCTCAGTAGGGCTTTGCCTGACATTGTCTATCACACAAATCAATATTAGGAGGGAAGAATAAACTATTGAAGGAGGGAGGGAGGCCGATTCAGGACCTAATTGCTTTTTATTTTGTCTCTAGAATGACTGACTGGGAGACAGCTCCTGCTGTGGCAGAGACCCCTGATATCAAGCTGTTTGGAAAGTGGAGCACAGATGATGTTCAAATCAGCGATATCTCCCTGCAGGTATGAAAAGAGAAGTTACAGATGGAATTTGGGAAGACAAAAACAGACATGATATTTTTCCGATTAAAATCGGAATTCTGATTTTTTTGGGAATCGCCCGGGCGGTGCGAGCGGTGGGCAGTGCAAGTGGTGGGTGGGCGGGACGAGCGGCGGGCGGGGCGAGCGGCGGGCGGGCGGGGGGGGGGGGGGGGCGGGGGGGGGGGGGGGGCGGGGGGGCGGCCGATTTCTTGGCGCGCGGTGGGGG